ATCGCTCGGACGTCCATTCCCTGTGCCTTTTTCGGTTTCGTGCGTGGTTTTTTTTTGGCAAGTGGTCAAGGATGCTCCTCGATGGTCCTCGCCGAGGAAAAAACGCACACGTCCGAGCGATGCCGGGGGGAATAGGGGAGGGGGCAAGGCCTCTTGGAAGGAGGCTGCTTCTTCGAATGGACAGGCGCGTTCTACGACTCGCAAAGCAGCCGCTCGCAAAGTGCCTGGATCCGCCGCGGAAGATCTACGATGTAATCCATAGAGGAAGACCTGTATATTTCGGACGTTTGCGAGTAGGCACTTTGCGAATAATGGAATGCGCTTGGCGATGGAAGGCGCCGGCCTTGCACATACAGAGGAGGCCCGCGCCTGCCAACGAGCAGCCTCCTTCTATAAGAAGCCTTCCCCCCTCCCCCTGGACCTCCCCTGCGCGCCACCAAAACGAGAGGGAGGAGGGCAGGGAGTTGGGGAGGGGAGCTCGAGTCTGGTGTTAGGTCGGGCATGTCCCCCTACAGGCGGATTTTGGGCGAAAGGAACAAGAAATAGCACAAACACATCTGCAACAACATTCAGAAGTAGAAGGAACAAAAAACTTCCCAAAACTATTTTCGTTAAAACCACTTCTGAAGATTCCCCCTGTAGAAGGACAGGCCCGACCTAAGTATTTTGCCGCTTCCAATGTGGTTGTAGCCTCGGGATCGCGGGCTCGCCGTCATTAAAGGGGCCCCAGAACACACAAATAAATACACACAAATGAAATGAGTCACCATAGTTTCCCATGTTTTTAGGGTCTTCGTCTTCCCCCCCCCCACTTCCCATATGTTCCCATATGTTCTGGGGAATCGAGGATTCATTGTGTCTGTGTGTATTTTCCCCTCCTGAGTCATCTGCAGAGGATGCCTCCTGGGCGCGGCTCCGCCGTGATTCTGCAAGGGGCCCCCTCCGCGTGTGGCCGAGCCCTGGAAGGTCGCGACCTGCGTCAGGCCCGCCGGCAAATGATGGGCCAAGTCTCCACACCACTCCCATAAGTAGGACGGGCCTCCTCCTCCTCCTCCTCCTCCTCCTCCCTCCTCCTCCCTCC